AAAGAAAGGTCTGTAGATTGAGGTGATGTATTTGGTTTGTCAATAATAAAGCATGTTACTTTACAAAAAATTGTTGCTCATGGCTTTCAGTACGACCGTCTTATTTCCACTGTTGTGTTTCCGTGAGTTTGCGGTTTTGCGATGGCTGACCTGAGAGAGCAGCATGTCTGTATAAAGTTTTGTTTTAAACTTGGGAAAACTGCTGCAGAAACGCACCAAATGTTGAAGAAAGCTTTTGGTGACAACAGTTTAGGCCAGACTGGTATAAGCATTTCAAAAATGGCCAAACATCGACTGATAATGACTATCATTCGGGACGGCCATCAACGGGCACCGCACCAGAAAATGTCGCAAAAGTTAGGGATCTGATTCTGCAAGATAATAGACTGTCCATCCATGACCTCTGTAAACCTTGGGACTAAATTATGGTACAAGTCACCGTATTTTGTCAGAGGAACTGAACATGGGGAGGACTGCAGCGGCAAAGTTTATGCCACGACTGCTGCAAAATGAACAGAAGCAGCATCGCTTGGAAGTATGCAGGGAACTTCAACAACAGCTTCAAGAAGATCCAAATTTTCTTTTGAAAGGTTGTCACTGGTGACAAAAGTTGTTTTTATGGCTACGACCCTGAAAGTAAGCAGCAATCATCGCAGTGGAAGAGCGCTTCTTCACCTCGACCAAAAAGAGCTCAACAAGTCAAGAGCAACATTAAGTCCATGTTGATCTGTTTTTTGATACTGACGGGATTATTCATAAGGAGTTCATCTCTCTTGGGCAGACAGTAAATAAAGAGTTCTATCAGGATGTTCTAAGGTGTTTGAGGGAGGACATGAGAAGAACATGTCCAGAGAAGTGGTGCACGAACGACTGGGTACTCCACCATGACAACGCACGACTGCACGGCTAACATTATGCAGGAATTTTTGGCTAAAAACAAGATGGCAGTTGTTCCCCACCCACGGTACTCGCCAGACTCAGCTCCATGTGACTTCTTTCTCTTCCCCAAGATGAAAATCAAGTTGAAGGGGCAAAGATTTGATACAGCTGAGGAAATTCAAGCAGAAACACAGATAGTACTAAACACCCTAACAAAGAAATACAAAGAAATGCATTTCAAAACTGGCAGAAACGCTGGGATCAGGGTATGCACACCCAAAGACTGCTTTGAAGGTGATGGTGCAGAATAAGATCCAGTTTTTATTAATATAATTCAGGAACTTTTGGATTGCACCATGTATATCTCACAAGAAAGAACTTTTCATAACCACCACTGTGATAACCTCAAATGGTAAAAGTCAAGGGATATATAAAATAACATTTCTGGAACGAAGAACAAATCTGGTATTTAATCTGTTTAAACTTGCCTATTTTGTACTATATTCTGTTTTGTCAATATGGCAAGCAGCACCTGCCTCACATGATATTACCTGGTGTTTGAAATTATTTGCAATTGCACCTGACCCTTGTGAAGTTCTATTGAAACCCAAAATATCAAATACACATGTTGTTTGCACATCTAAATTTTGTGAAGGTACTGATATACAGGCTGATTCAAAGCTCTAGTCCAATATTTAATGTCACTGGGGAGATAAATTGGAGCTGCAAATGTAAACAAAGTTTGTTCCAATACACTACCATCTACAAAACTTTTATGTTGATGTCACATCATACTACTGTAACTGCCAATTTTTACAGAATAGAAAGAGTTACAAAGGCAAAAATAATACCATCTAATGTGACTATTTAAGTTTTATCACTTGAGGATTTATCTCCCTTACATGTTTCGATCCCTACGGATCATCCTCAGAGGGTATCAATACTTTCGGAAACTACTATTACAATAGATGTTAACTGTATGGATACACATATGATGTCTAAAATGCACAATATACATAATGTTCAACGTTCCACATTCACGGCAGCCTTCTTGGTGTTAAAACTTTTAAAAAAGTTTGTTTTAAAAACTTTCAAGATCAAGCTTAAAATTTATGAACCATACACATATAGGTTCGCATCAAATCCCTTTTGTTATCTGTGGAGGTGGCTGGTCCTGTGCCGCCTGTTTATCTTGCGAAAGGAGATTCTTAGTATTTCCATTTTTGTGCATGGCCTGCTGTGTGTAAACACGGAAATACTAAGAATCTCCTTTCGCAAGACAAACAGGTGGCACAGGACCAGCCACCTCCATGAATAACAATAGTAGATTCAAAGCGAACCTGTATGGTTCATAAATTTTAAGCTTGATCTCCAAAGTGTTTAAAACAAACTTTTTTAAAAGTTTTAACACCAAGAAGGCCACCGTGAATGTGGAAGGCTGAACACTGCGTATATTGTGCATTTTAGACATCATATGTGTATCCATACAATTAACATCTATTGTAATAGTAGATTCCGAAGTATTGATACCCTCTGAGGATGATCCACAGGGATCGAAACATGTAAGGGAGATAAATCCTCAAGTGATAAAACTTAAATAGTCACATTAGACAGTATTATTTTTGCCTTTGTAACTGTTAGTGTGACGGACCAGAATGAAATAAATCAAAAGAAAAAAAAAAGTTCTTTCTAACATGCCAACTGGCCTTCTCATGTGCAACTGAAAGAAAGAAAGAAAGTGGGGGGGAAGAATGGTGGGAAGGGGAGAAAATGGGAGAATGGGGAGGGAATAAAGGGAAAATATTTGATCCTGTATCTTATTCAGGCCCACGCTCAATAATATAGCAAGCTCCTCCCACAACACACAAGTTAAAATATTATTCTAAATGTCAAAAGTTAAAATTTAAAATTTGTGAATCGAAGTTCAATTCAGATCACTAGTTATGCTTTCACTTTCACTTGGTATTCAGTCACTTCCTACTTACGCTCATCACTGTGTCAAGTTCACTTTAACTAGTTTAATTCTATTATTGGTTAAAAGTTCATGAATTAAAGTTCAATTTTATTATACTGATTGCACTGTTCACTTTTGGAGGTCTCGCTGTTCTTCCGTGTCCTCTGATGTTGCTGGATCTGTTACGGTCCTTGTCATGATGGCATGGAGTAGCCATCACGACAAGGACCGTAACAGATCCAGCAAACATCACAGGATGCGGAACAACAGCGAGACCTCCAAAAGTGAACAGTGCAATCAATATAATAAAATTGAACTTTAATTCATGAACTTTTAACCAATAATAGAATTAAACTAGTTAAAGTGAACTTGACACAGTGATGAGCATAAGTAGGAAGTGACTGAATATCAAGTGAAAGTGAAAGCATAACTAGTGATCTGAATTGAAATTCGATTCACAAATTTTAAATTTTAACTTTTGACATTTAGAATAATACTTTAACTTGTGTTTTGTGAGAGGAGCTTGATATATTATTGAGCGTGGACCTGAATAAGATACAGGATCGAATAAGTGAGAAGACGAATGTGATTGCGTGTAATTATACAGCTGTGTTTGTACACCTGAGGATGACCTCTTGAGGTCGAAACATGTAGTGTAATACTAACAAATATATGTTGTTAGTCAGTAAAATTGACTCTACTATACATCACAACAGATAACTGAAGTCCCCCCCTCCTCAACATACCTCATGGTAACATCAAATTGAGTCCTTGACAATAACTACTTACTAGCAACCACCTCAGTGCAAATCAGATCATCATAACCATGAATTTGTGTGGCATACACTTTTCCTTCAGGCACCCAGACAAGTACCAATATGGGGGGTGGGAAAGCCAGAGGCAACTGGATTTCCATGCCCAATCCATCTATCGGGGAAGTTGTTCAGCCAACTGCAAACTCAATGTGCAAAATGGGAAGGAGTAACACTGTGTTAATACCACATGTTCTTGTGCACATGTACAAGCACATCCCCCAATAAATGTGAAAGCATATCTTCAAGAAAATCAGTGTTGTGTACTCCACTGAGACAATCCTGTATTACATACGGCCTGATTACATAATCAGCTACAATTCCAACTCAAACACTGACACCAAACCTTCGTTGGGATGAAGAGGGTTTCTCCATTGTCCATACTTGCAAGCACTGAAAACAGTGTACACCACTTCTTGGAAGTACCGACTTGTCACTCCACAATGCACAGCACAGCACAGCACACTCTCGTGTAGCACCTGGTCACAACAACTGAAGACAAGAGATGTTTATCCACTGGCTGTACACTGAAACTGATTCTCATACACTGTATGTCATACTGCACTCTCAGAAAGTCTTACTGCCGAAGAAATTTCATGAGTGCTGGATGATAGGCCTTCCACAGCAAACACATGTATGCATCCACAGTGTCAGTTTCTCTCACATTATGACGGACCATTTCAATTACACATCAGTAATGTTCTCGCGAACCCAGATGTCAATTCTGGCATTCCTTCAATGAAGTGACAAAACTTCCATTCCAAAAACCACATACAAAATGAGTGTTTGTACACTCTGCATTAGCAAATCTAGGCCATTTTGTTGTCACTGTTCTTGTTACTTGTCCTACTATGTAAGTCAGATAAGTGTTCTTCACACCTTACTTCCATGATCCCTCAATGCAGAGCATCCTATGTATCAATGATTACAGCAATACAAAGCCACATCACGATGAACATGTCTAACTCAAAAAGAGAGATGACTTTGTAAAAGCTTTATTTACGTTTCAGCTACAACTAATGTCATAACCTCCTCCTAAATTACTGCATTAGAGCTATGAATCACCCTGCCCAAACAGATGTTACATACCATAAAATAACAGATGTATTATCTAAACTGTAATGGTTGACTACCATCATACGAAGTGTTCCATGTGAATTTCTTAACAATATTTTAGAATTTAAATATGAAACCCTTACCACTTATATATATATATCTCCCATGTAACACACACACACACACAGATTCAGCTGAGGAAGTATATATGAACCATTACAAAATAGCTTAATTAAAGCAGAATTAAAAAATCCTATGATGAAGCCAGTCCATGTGAGTTACAGTTCTGCCATCATTACCTGAATATACGCCCTCTAGATCCCATCCATGTGATGCTAGATAGGGATGGTGTTGACACATGGTGAACAATGCCACTCAATTATCCGTACCCTGGGCTGAATCCACACTGAAAAAGAAAGCAACCAAGAATGCCAGTGTTATCAAACTCTTATTTCCAGCTACCAACTTCAGCTGCATACATGGACATAATCTTGTGTAACACACATTTTCATATTAATTTCATCTTAACAGAGAATGAAAATTGAGAGCTGAAACATCTAATGAAATGGATGCCTACCCATACACGCCAAGCATCAAAACATTAACAGAAACAAAGCAAAGGGCAACATTACTACAACACATAAATTGAAAATATAAAAAACCAATTCAATGTCACAGATGGGTAAGACACAGCAAAGGTCAAAAAGAAAAAAAAAAGAAAGAAAAAAGACTTTGTGTATTCATGTTCAGTTTGGTTGATAGTAGTATAAAAACAATTATGGATTACCAGTGATAATGTTCAGACACTATGCCACAAATCACAATTTGTTTAAAAAACATAACTGAAAAATATATAAATGGTCTCCCATTCCAACATGACAACTGACATGATATAATCTGCGAGGAAAAGGAGAATTCTTACTTTCAATGCAATGTGTGAACATGACTGAGATAATTATTTTAAACCTAAAATTACAGCCATGACAAAATATACAAACCCATATTCTCAAACTACAAACAAATTTATTACAAACAAGTTTTAGAAGCAAAATAAACTTTTCCTTGGTCAAATCTATTTCCCTATCAACATTATTAAGAGGTGAGTTAACCAATATGCTTTTAATGCTACTTCATACCTGACCTTATTACAAGGCAAAGCAACTAAGCATATGTAATGTAGTTATTAAAATTAATATAACAGCAATACAGAATTCACAAGTGCATCATTTCTCAACATACTCCCGCTGCTTTTTAATACAACTGGTCCATCCAGCACTGCAGATTTTGTATGCCTTGGGGGGGGGGGCATTTACAACAGGACCACCCACCAGCCATATATTTAGTGTCTCCTTGAATTCATGGTCACTGGCAGAATGACCACCTTTGAAAGCATATCTGCAGGTACCAAGCAGAAGAAAATCTGATGGTGCAAAGTCATGGCTGTATAGTGGATGTTCTACAACCCTGAATCACAGCTGATGAAATGATACAGCACTACGGGTAGCAGTAGAGGGCAGGCACTATCATGCAAAACCACAGCATGTTTGATAGCTGTCCTTGGCATTTATGCCAAACCACCAGCTAAGCTTGTCATGCAGCATCTCAATGTAACACACACTGTTTACATTTTATTCCTTCCTGAGAAGAGTCAAGCACTGGTCCCTTATGGTTTAATGCACATTCAGCATTGGGCCACATGCAAAGAAAGATATTAACACTCTGCACATACTTTCTCACTTACCCTCACACATATTCAAATCCAGTCTAAAATGGACTTTTTAGAGGAATGAAAAATACCTCAAACAGGAACCAATTCCCATACACTACAAAATTGCATATGTGGACTCACGCACCCGCACAAACACACAGGTATCTCTCATATCACGAACACTCAATCTATGAATGATTGCTACAGTGAAGTGTATTAATTTGTGACTATTTTACGCTGAACAAACTTCAATCTTGCTACAATGAAAACAGGGACTTCTGCATGTAAAGTACATGGGAAATTTAGATTTATATATTTTCACCTGAGGAACAGTGAAGCTGGACTAGCTCACTTGTTGTGGTGAGAGGCTACGGGCTGGAGGACCTGGGTTCGATTTCTGGCAAGGCCAAGAGACTTTTCTCTTCTCTACATCATCCAGGCCAGCTCTGGGGCCCACTCAGCCCCTTATCCAATGGGTACCTAGGTTATTTCCCCCAGGGTGGGTTACAGCGGCCAGGTCATGAAGCTGAACATTCACCATCTAGTGCCAAGGGCAAGGATAATGGAGCTATACCTCCCACACCCCTGTGATTAATTAAGCATAGGGACAACTTTACCTTTTTACCTCACCTTACGACCAGTTTTCAATGAAAAATTACCCTCACAAATCAATGGATATTATACCTGCTCAAGTGTATGTGTGTATGTGTGTGCATGTGCTTGCATGAGTGTGTGCATATGCATGCATGTTTTCCCAACATTTGAAAACATGAAATAAGCAATGACTACTTTGTGGATTACAAATTAGAATATTACATAAAGTAAAGCTATCCCTGTACCAGGCCGTGAAGGCCCATAGGGTTGTGAGACGTTGAGGGTCCCACACTATCTAGACAATCAGCTCAAAGATGGCGGTAAGGTTGTCAGCCTTACACGCCAGCCGCGCTTTACTTCCCAGGAAAATTATTTAATTAATTCTTGGTACTGATTTCTGTTAGAGGCTAAGTAAACCCCAGGGCTTAGTATGGCTAGAAGGATTAGGTCAACTGAAAAAAATCCAATGACCTCATCGGGACTTGAATCCGTGACCTCCCGGCTTGCAGCATAGCCCCTCAACCAACTATGCTACCGTGTGCCCCCAGAATATTACATATGACATCCAAAATTTATAAATTCACTTTCAATCAAGTTTAATCAGCAAGAGCAGTACTTAAACACAGAATGTTTAACTCTTGTTAAATTTATGCAGTGCTCATCAGGCCCAGTATTTTTAACTTTCACTATATTAATGTAAAGTGCATTTTATTTAAGAAACTGTGGTTAAGTACAATAGTAATACAATAATAATTAAGTACAATAATGCAGCAAAATTTATGTTACATGCACTTCATAATTGCAAATTAAAATAACTAAATTTGGGAATAAAACACTTTCTACTCAAAGTTCCTGGCTGACAAAAGACTGTAAGCTAATCCAAAAGTTGGATAGGCAAGGCTCTGTATAACATGGATAATGATCTTTATAAACAAAACCAAAACTCTCTTCAACTCAACATTACCTACTATGCTCAGAAGCCTGTTAAATTAGTTTTCTCATTCTGTACTTTCCTGTGTTTATTCTAATGAAGTGCATGAAATACTTCAAAGAAGAGAAGTATCACAATTTATAGCAACAATAGCATACACGAGAAAACTCAAGATATTTCATCTGTAACTAAGGAAAAGATTATAGAACAGATACATGCTAAGAAATGCTATATTATACATTGTTAGTTATGGGGGACAAAGTTGCTCGTGTCCATGACATTCTTCAAGTCATATGTGTCCCCTGGGTAGTGCAAAATGAGCAACAAACCTGGCAAAGCTTCCCAAAAGAAAAGTGCAAACTTCTTCAAGATGCAACAAACAACTTGAGTGCTCTCTACTGGGAAGCAAGAAGCAAAATGGGTTAAATGATCCCAAATGCAGCCATTGGAAAATAACATTGTTAGTCACACTCTGTTTTATGACATTTCTCTCCCTGTTCTTAATAACAAATTTATCAGGCCTATTGCACATTCTAGAGTGTCACATCAACATGACACAAAATTTTCATGATAGCACAAATTACTTTCTTCATATTATATTACTATACGTACATGACCCTTGAAAGACGACAACGAAAATCATCTTAGTGTAATGGCCTCATCAAGATGCTATCCTAATATTTGCCTATGGAGACTGAGAGAAACTACAAAAATTACAGATCATGTTGCAGCTGAGAGTGAACTTGAGCACCTCACAAGTCACCAACTTACTTGGTATTAATCCACTACCATACGAGCCATCAGATACTTCTTAATGCATAACACATCTGACATTCAATGGCAGAACTGATTAAACTTTTCACTTATAAAGCACACCATTTAACTGTTACGGAACCATTTGCAGAAACAAATGCGTGCTAGAAGACATATTAAAATTGCATTCAAATGAAATATTAATTCTTATGCTATTATGAAAAACATTACATTTTTCTATGATGTGCCATGCCTGACAGTTAAGAGATTATAAATTTAAAAAGCCTATGTCATAATAACAAAGAAACAACTTGATACAAAAACCAGAAACAAAAACAAAAAATATTAAGATATTTCTACAAAACAACAATTATGGTATGAATTTAAATATAACAATAAAGCAAACACAGTTTTATATTGGAATAATTCATAAACGTAAAAAAAATTTAAACTGTGCATGACACAATAGAACCGAAAATCATGGCTTCGAAATTTATTGTGTTAATTTTGAACTTTTTTACCTAACATCACACCATGAGTTATGTTTTACTTCATCATTTCCACCTTATAAAGCATGAAATAGATCTAATAAAGTCCTACATATTATAATGCATACATGAAAGCCAGGACGTTAGTTACACATAATTAACAGGAGCATACTGCCATCACAGCACTAAAAAGCTTCTCCAATTCAACACACCACTACTCATCATGCAAATCTGTATAACAGCCCTTAATAAATAACAAGAAATAACCTTAACCACAATTATCTGGAAAATCTGTGCAAAAATTCTAAATAGCTTTTAAATAAGAAAGTAGAAGAAAACCACAGAGGATACAAACTGATTTGGCTTAACATTCATTCAGTAACAGGAAGATAAACTACATTCTCATACACAAAACATATAAACTAATCCTTTGGTCACTAGTGAGGATATGAATTAAGATTGTAAATCTGAAGAAAGATTGAAGCAGCACCTGTATGCTCTTCTGTTTGTACAGCATGAGTCATCCTACACCAGTCTAAGGTAACTATGGTAAATCATTTGAAAGTAATCATTCATACTTATTATGAAGAAAGAAGTCATCTTTGGGCAGTCCCAATCTCAGAAATACAGGACTCAGCCATGTCACACTATCTTGGCATTCACTTATACAGCCCAACCACGTCAAATGGATTCAGTTATCTGGATAAACAAATCACCCATGTTCAATCTGCTACTCCTCTTGAACCTGAAGAATGAACCACATAAACCACAGGTAATTTGTTGCAGTAACACTGACACCATACAGAACTACAACTAACCTGATATTCTATCCTTCTCAGAGGCATGACTGTTGCAATCACTCACTGAACAGAAATGAAATGTAGTTTATATTTTGTCTGTTAACAATGCCAAAATTAAAGATTTCGATTGCATTTAAATAAAATACGTATAGACTGCATGACTATCACTATGACTATTCACCAGCAGCACAGAATTGGATTGGTAAACATCACAATTGCTTACACTCACTAACAGAACATCAAATAATACATCTTAACCTCTTCATGATACCCACCTGTTCTGCCAGTTTTATACCCCTTAAGATATACCATATCTAGTTACAAAATGGCAAAAACATATATCACTGAATAAACCAGACCTCAAAATCCAGACCTACTTAGGCCTACATCAACCTATGTACTTCAGCATACTACCATACAACAAACATTATGCAAAACTATGAAGGCCGATTGGTCATTAAATTAAAATAATAAATCCTATATACAATATGCACCGCTCTAGTTTGAAAGACGCAGACTTTGTCACAGTTAACAACTGTGTAAACAATGGATATATTTTAAAAAATGGAAGAAAACCTGATACTTAATTGAATTTTCGTAGTCATAATGCAACTGCCAAGTGAACAATATTATACATATTTATACTCTAATTATTGCAATATAAAGACTTACCTATAAATTAAAAATACAAATCCCGCCACTAGTACACGTAACTTTTAACATGTAGTGTTATTCACAAGCAACCTGCACAGCCATTATGTCAATGACTCCCATTTTGGGGCTTTAGGTACACTCGCGCCATCTATCGGTCGTCAGGAGAACTTCACACCAAAACTATCTATTTACCTTTCAGTTCTGAATGTTTTAGGACGAGATGATCATAAGTACGTTCATAACACATTTAAACTTATGTGGTCATATATACATCTCAATATCGCAGTCAGCTTGTCTAAAATACCGGTAACGCATAACGAAATTAAAATGAAATCCGCAACTACATGCCACATTTGATTCTAAAATACACCGCTAGAGTGGCCATCAGCGTACAAGGACAAGACCAGCCCGGGCTGCAAGAGAAATTTCAAATTTAGAATGAAACTTTTTTTCACAAGCTCTGAACTAATACACAAAACGTAACAGTCACCGTTGAGTTATTTAATACAAAAAAAAACCACAATGAAGAAACGTGTACACCCACACAATAAATTCACAGTTGCTATATTGCTTAAGTCGTCACAATACCCACCTAGGAACGGAGTACATACAAATCATACATATACAGACCGAGGACATGGGGTTCACTTCATATTAGACAATATTTTAATCGTGTTACTTAGCGGCATAGACGTTAGCAGCATCACAACAAAAATCATATTTCGCAACATTACATATTTTACAGACGCGCCAAACATCACATTATCTGCACACAGCCATAATATACTGTAAATGCATTCGCCATAAAAATATACTTTTCCTACTGCATATTATGTCAACGTAGTATCAGGGGTGCAATGCATGTATAATATTGCCATAAAGACATACCTTCAAATGGGTGCGTTTTTACTTTATGAAACCAGCGTCTTTCCACAGTAAATAGCGAATGAATACATAGACGTAATTCTACTTTTAACCTCTTTACCATAACGGCGTACGCATTTCAAACACGAAAAGTTACGTTAGGAAGTGTGGTATCAGAGTATTTAGCGTATTCAGTGTAGTGATGTGCGTAATGTATGTAGAGTAGTGCTGAGTTTGCCCTCATATGTAATCAAGCATATTGTTTACGGCTGAGCAGAAGTAATTTGGTTATATCACAATGATCACAATGCAGTTTATAATCTTAATCATCAAAAGAACAACGATTCTGCCAACGAGTTGATAACCTCTTACATGTTTCGAACCGTATCTGTTTCAGAAATCACAAATTTTCTTCGGTCACACAGCTGTCACCAGTGCCATACACACAACATCGGGAAAAATAACCAAAACAATATTATTAAAATCGTAATGAGAAGTTTGTATAACGTACGTAAGATTTTCATAGTGGAAGTTTAATCAGGGAAACTTCGGTGAATGAAGAGCACGGTTATTGACTTAACAGTGCTATACATCATACGCTTGTGATCATACCTCGTATTGCACCGAAATGCATGTAGCTGAATCCTCCAAATGCCACTAGTTGATCATCTACCCAAAAACTGCTGAACATTTATGGAACCGGAGTTCATTACCATGCTCAGTGCCCACCATTGGTCCTTAACTTGAACAAAATTAAACCATTCGATACCACAACATCCTATTCCTCTAAGATAAATTTTAATATTATCATTCCACCTATGGCTAGGTCTTCCTAGTGGCCTCTATCCTGACTCTCGCCAAAACTCTATGCATGCATCGTCCACTGGTGTCATATGCCACACTAATATCATCATCCTTGACCATTATTCTAACTAATATTTAGTGAAGGGTAGTAGTTATGAAGCTCCTCATTATGCAGTCCTCACCAGGTTCATATTATTTCATCCATTTAGCTAAAAATATTCCCAGTACTCTGTTCTCACATACCCTCAGTCTATGAAGCTTGCGTTATTACACTTGCTTGAATGTGGGCAGTTCCCACATCCTTATAATCAGAATTGAATTCCACAGTTTTTACGATCTTACATAACAGACAAGAAGACCGAAGGTTCAAAACTAAATGGTAACAAGCGTAACCAAAATTCAGTCTGCACTTCATTTCCTCGTGAATCAAATTTGTATATATTACAATTGTTAAATATTTGAACTTCGCCACATTTCAAAAGGATCTACTTTCTTATGACTGCCTTGCATTCTGGTGATGAGACATCAACGTAACCTCAGTTGTCGCTGAGTTTACTCCTAAGGCAACCACCTTATTATCATCAGAGCTTTTGTGTTTTCCTTTACGGTATTTATATTATGTCACAGTAGATTTACGTCGTTAGCATAAACAATAGCTGATGTATCCCATTCATTCCCAACTGGTTTGTCTGGACCTTCCTAATGTAATATACTGAAGAAAAGTTGAAGAGAAATGAAAATAACACATTTTTTAAAACTATTTTTAATAATAAAATTACCAAACAAATATTTACATCTTTACTGTAGGTTTTATTTAAACACATTCTTATAAACCTCGTGAGTTTCAGCAGCATCCCACACTCAGAATGTTGTATCCCTTGAAGTCTATGAATAGCTGATGTACTTGTACTCTAATTTTTGTCTCCAGTAGAACACCTACAATGATGATTCCAATAATTTTGTCTATATATGGAATTAAACTAGAGTGAAGGATATTGAATAAAATTTTGTATGAAGTTGTTGATAGTGATATTTAATGACAATACAGTCAGTTTTATTTTCTTTCTGGTGAACTGATACAAATTATGGACTCTTCCGCTACTAAGGCAGTTCTCTCATATTCAAAACAGAATTAATGACTTTATGGATCTGACACGATAATGACTCATCTCCTACTTGAATCGGTTCTTCCAGAATTTCATCACTACCTGGCGATTTATATCTTTTCAACTTTGCAATATCATTTTCATCCGTAAAAGATACTAATGACTCAGTTGTATATCTGCACAGTTAAGAACAGTTCCTCCACTTCGTGAAAATGTAGGGATTTACAGATTACCATTCTCTGCCTTCACCATTATAGTTCTATGTTGGTAACCCTACTTAAATTCTTATATTCATCTACTTAAATCTCTGTTATTCTTAATAGCATCTTATGGGACCATCTACACAACAAATGTATCAGCAAACAAATTGATACTAATGTGCCAGCATTTGTTTATTTGGCAAAGCTGTCACTACGTGTTTTGACCCTTACAGGGTCGTCGTCATAGAAATGTGTTCTTAGTCATTGAATTGTTTTCTTATATGGATCCCCATTATTACAATATTTTACCACTTGTTTTTTCCAAATACACCATTTTGTTCAAATATAATCTAACAAGTACACAGTTTCTTTAAATTTATGCTTAAAAATTGAAATTAAATACATGGTTTGGAATAATATTAATATAATTTTAATCTTAAAAATTAAGTACCTGAATTATACTTTGAATTTAAATTGATTTTAAATTTGCATAAAATCTCAAATTTTTTTAGGTTAGTCAGGTTTTGTTATGGTTATTGGTATTGGTAGGTGGTAATGTGTGGATTGAAACAATATTAGGGGGCCTTCCAGGGAGTCTCTTGTCCCATATCTTCTTTACCATATCTAGGTGACATGTAATGGTGTTCTAAATGCTTTCTTTATGTCACCCCTGCAGTTTTGTTTTCCACATATGGTGAACTTTTACTGTTTTGTATGTTTTGTTGTATTCAAAGGGATCCATATTTTTGTGTTGTTATTTGTTCATGTAATGGTTCTGTGTGAAACTGTGTATTTGTTAGATTATATTTCAAGAAAAGGGTGTATTCGCAAAAACATTGTGAAATATTATAATAATGGGGATCCATATTAAGAAAACAATTCAGTGACTAAGGTCACATTTCTATGAGGATGTCCGTGTAAGGGTCGAAACATATACTGGCACCTTTGCCAAATAAACAGATGCTGGTATGTTAGTATCAACTTGTCTCTTTATATAATTGTTGCTTGAGGTTCGAATATGGAGAGAAGTTTTTACCCTACCTATGTTTCTTAAATACTCTCGTTGAGTTTCGCGGAGGCCCTGTATCTGTTGGTTCACAGACGACAAGATATCATCCACACAAAATCTGATCTTCTTTTCCAGTTCGAAATGCATGGAATTTAATGCTGCCTCCACCTTTCCTGCTGCTGCTCGACGTGGTTTTAATTTTTTTCCCCAGGCTTTTATTTCTTCTTGGCCTTCTTTACTTTCTCCTTGCCCCTTCATTAATTTCTCCCTGATTAGAATCTGACACTTCTTTGCCATTGCTCTTGGCGGTGTCCATCTTCACATCCATCCTTTTTAGAATAACCCCAATATTTCTTTGAATGGGCTGCAGCGCTTCTTTGCGGACACTTCCTTTGTCTGACTTATCCATTATATTATCTTTAATGGCGGCCATGAAGACTTTGCTACTTGTTGCCTGGCCTTCCAGCGCTCCCTTTTCGCCCAGTAGGTGTTTTATTATGTGCTAAATTTTTGTAGTATGACGATATGACCACCTCATGCAATCTTCTGTCTAATATTTTAATTAATCCTATCCGACGTCTGAACCAAGTTTCCGCATATTAGTGATTAGACACAGGGTTTCGATTGATAGCTGGATTTTCTGGACTTTTAAAACTCGCAACTACAGATGATTATAACAGTCTCAGTAAAACGTTTATGTGCTGTATAACACAGTCCGTCAATAATGAAACAAATTGTTCCTTTTTCTTCCACCTACACTTTTAAAACAGCATGTTTCAGCCCTAGATGACCAGCTTCAGGTGTCTTAATATATTAAAACTGCTACACTGCATTAAAATGCACTAAAATCACGCTGTAGTCCACTTAATAAAATAAAATCCATTACGATTTTCATTAATTTTCTGACATTCTATTCCACCTCACAATGGGTGTCATCCACTTGTTTAGAACTATATGTTTATTTCCAGGTGTTGTATTATAACAGCTTGTTTTTTTTTTATGTTCCCTAGCCCGTTGTTCTTTTGTCTGCAATCTAGTGTACAAAATGACAGTATTGTTATTTGATTATTATTCATGTTATGTTGGTTTATTATGTATATACTTGCATGCACCTTGCTTGTGCATTGTTCCCTCTAGCAGCGTGTGGTGTTGTCTTCACTAGTGCAGATGTGTCAAATTTCAAAGTCACAGTGCTTCTGATAGTGTCTCTCTTGGTGTCGAGCCCTGGCTGGGGCTCATGACCAGATGTTTCTTCTTGTGTGAGAGGTACTGTCCTGTCCTTGTAGTGCACCCTCTCTAATGAGAGGTCGTGTCTGTCATGTGTCAGTCATAGTTGGTAGTGTTAAGTCCATTGTCAGTATGTACACCTATTTACAAATTGACTCTTTAATATCTACTCCTGTGTACAATATATACAAGGCCTCTGTCATTCAAGGCTCAGTACAGCAGACTATTCCCTATTTCGAGTAGTATTCGCTGCAGTGGCAGTTCAGTTAACTTAAACAGTTGTGTATGCCTGACCGCCGCCAAGTTTAAGCCTCTTATACTTTCTATGTCACCTTGTCCAATATTGCAAACATTCTCGTTATCATGATTTTGTATTACTTCTGCTTGTTGCCTGCAGAAGTTTGTTACATAATCATATACGTAAGGGATTCTGAATGCCATGTGCAAATCGCGAACCGGTACGTGGCTTGGAAAATTGCCAGTGGTGCGGAGAACCTTGTTTTGCAGGCACCGGAATACCATTGGATGGGAATCTGCCACAAATTCGCAGGCAGGACTAGCATAAGTTATTACGGACCTAATTCGAGCTTTGTGGAGGGTCAGTTTAATGTTAGCGCTCAATGGCTTGCTTTTGAAGGGGGGAATACACTTTAATGAATGTTCTGAAGGCCTTGGCTTCAATCATTTCTGTGTGCAACCTACATGTAACTCTTATCGAAGATTACACCCAAACATTATTCACTGTTTACAAATGGAATATTTCATCCATTTGGCGCAAGAGAAGAATCAGGTGTTCGACAACTACGAGAGAAGTAGACACCCTAAGTCTTATCTCCATTAGTTTTTATATTCCAGCGCTCACACCAGGTCTCCATTGAGCTAAGACCGTGCTCTAGCTTTCTGATAATAAAACCCTCGCGATTTGTCGCATACAGACAGATGTCTGCAAATAGGACCAAGTGAACACAGTGTGTTTGGGGGCATCATTTATTTACAAACTGAAAGGATTAGTGGGCAGAAGCAAGCCTTGTGGCACCCCTGCTTGCATTTCCCTTGGCGTTGGCATTCCGCCTTCAACCAAAACTCAGAATTTATATCATGATAGAAAGGACCCAATAAGCTTGATGAGACTCTTCGAAATTTCCAGTTTTGATAACTTAT